CAGGGACTCATTATTGACCCTAAGGTATATCACATATTCCTTAGCTACAGATCTTGCTGATCTCCTATCAGCAGTCCTCTACTCCTCGTCATGAGCCTTATTCTGTCATTTCTGTAAAAGGGTTAGTAAATATTAGGAACCAGCCGAATGAATGTTTAGGACTTAAAACACAATGGAACTCACTGAGAAGGAAAAATAGAGAAGTTTGTAAAAAATTGTCATTAAAGATGTCTGTTTTCAACTTCAATTTGATATGTTCAGGAGAACACGTGATGGAAATCCTTACCAGAAGCATCCATGGATTTGAATCAGTAGGAGTCCTGATCCACAAATTCAAGGCTAAAATGAGACAACAATAAAACTGTGAAACTTTGCATATCTGTTTTTCACTTACTACTTTCATGGACCTTCCTCTGATTGCAGATCTCTTAGCTGATCTTGTGGTATCCCCTCCCTAATGAATGATAAACACACTTCTGGATACTGCTGTTGCTGATAAGAACCTGAGCCCTCCCTGTGGGGAGGGGGAAACTCATGGGTAAAGAAGAGGCTGACAAGTAGGCATGGGAAGGATTCACAGTGATCCCAAGCCATGACTTTAACTCATAAGTCAGAGCCTTGCCTCTAGTGAGCACATCAAAATACAAAGAAGTAGATGGATTTTAGAGCACTTCAGGTACAGAGAAAAGAGAAAACAGCTTAGTACCCACCAGCTTTTTCCCTCTGCTCCTCACAGCTCCTTGGCCATGCTGTCTGAGCTGCCCCATGATCAGGCTATAATGTCTTTCAGTCAAATTAACTAGTTGGACAATCTGTGTTCCTTAATACAATTGACCAGATTGCGCAGATTTAATCCAGGTCTGGCATGGATGCGTGATCCCAACTCTGCGAAGTTAACTGGAGAATGTGATATGCATGCTGGCTTCATTCTTTTAGGCTGGTTTACACTGGGTGCAGGACAGCAGAACATTTCTAGCCCAGTATAAACACAGAGCAGCACATACAGACAATACCTGATGTAATGTCAGGTTTACTAGGACAAATGTACCAATTGCTTGAATCAAGCTGAAGTGGCAGAGTAATTTTCTACTGGTGGAATGCTCTGTGTTGTACATCCATGCAGTTTTGTACTTGATACTAGTTTTTGGATGGTTTTAAAAACTGTTGCTTTTTTTCAACTTACTTTACCATCTCATGGTGCTACAGCACTCAAAAGTACAGAAAGCAGGTATTTGCTACACTATCTTTTTTCACTGAAGAAGTGTAAAAGAATTTCTGCTTTGTAATTAGCATAATGGGATTTGCCTATTAAAAGTCAGCCTACAGGAAAAGGGGTCCAGTACTCCTGTATTTTTTTACTTTTTTTCCCGTTTAGATGCAACTTAATCTCAGCTAATGTTAAAGAAACATGAAATGCTATTCCTTTACACTTGTGTTAATAAAGTTTCAGATATGCTCTGGATGTTTCTTCTAGTAGTTGTAAGGCACAAAGTACAGCATTTTTTCTTCAAATGTAATTATTGATTTACAGGAAAGTTGACAGAATGTGAAACAAGGGCCTGTAATTGGGTTTCATTTCTAGTTTTTGGGAAAATTTTATTTGGCACTGTCCTATTTTTCTCCAACCTCTCAGTTCTTGACAGGTGACAGGTAAGATACAGTCCAGGCAGAAGAATGCTATTACTTTCCATGTCTTTTCTGTACTGCTTTTATATGAAAGGAGAAAAATTCAGTATCTCGGGGATGACAGCTGCTCAATGCCTTGTGTAGGAGAACTTTTTATTTAGAATAATTCATTATGAACATATTGCAGCATCAAGACGCATTTAATGGATAAATCTTTATAGAAATAGTCTTTGCCTCTTAACATTGTCATTACAATAAAAGCATTTTGTTATCATGTGTTTTCATATTAATTCACTTTCTACTGTATTTCTCAGCTATACCATCATGAAGTCAGTGCAAGAAGTCTCCAGAGTGAATACTGAATAACACATAGGTGAATAAATATCTAGTTAAGTTGCTATAGTCTGTAGAAAAAACTTTTTATGTATCTTGAGAATTATTAATCTCTTTTACGAAATGTACTCTTGCATTGTCAGGACTAACCATCAAGAAACCTATCCATTTGTCCCTGGGGTACTGTATCAGGAGTTAATTATGCTGATACTTTTGGTCTGTGTTTGGCCCTGCCACCTGTGAAAGTTTTGCTCCTTCCCTGCCAAGTTATGGGAAAACAAGCACTGATAAACGGGAAAGTTGTCCTTGAAGAGAGCTTCTTGTATAAACTGTTTTAATTGGCTAATTGTCCTCCAGGGTTGCTTGAAGGAGAAATTGAGGAGGAGGAGGATGAAGCAATGCCCCCAGACTCAATTAAGAAAGACCCCCAAAGCATACTGAGCGTGCGTGAGGGGATTTCCAAAGTTCTCACGCATGTGCAGAAGAGATGCACTTGCATAACCAGGAGGTGGGACTGAGACCCTCTGGCTGGGCGGTGATGGTCACTCCTGGGAGGTTGAGGTCACTCAGTTAATTTTATAAAAGTAGATAGTGCTTTCTTGGAGGGGAGCTAGCTTTATTTCAAGGACAAGGTTGCCTTTTGGCGGGGACGCCTGCCAGTTTGTGAACTTACTGACTCTCCAAGGATGCAGCTTCTGTTATGGGTAATTATAGGCACGCTAGGTCTGTAAGATAACTTTATAGGCAACAGCTGGGTAACTGGGGAGGTCGTGCTGGGGGCTTATTTCTCTCCTCCTTCCTCCCTTTTGGGTTTGTTCGTTTTGTTGGCCACCTCTTGGTGATAAATATTGGTTTTTAACGGTGTCATGGTTTCAAGTTTCAGTATGTCTCAAACCCTCCCTAATACAGGTACCTGGACCTGGACTTACATTTATACTGGTGAACACAGATGAAATACAATTTATACAAGTTATCATCCAGCCCTGTAAAACACGTGGCCCTTATAAACTCAAGGTATCATGTGTTTGAGTTTAATGTATCTGAAATAATATCTGTGGTCTTGCATCTCAGGAAAATGATGTCTTTATAGCAAGAAACTACTGCACATCCACTCCCTACCTTGTGGGATGATATGTAGGCTATGTGGGAGCATTGGGGAGAGCTAGCAGTTGAAAAGACCATTGGGACAGGGTTGCAGGAGGGCAGGATGTCTGGCATGCCGTACTGGTCCTGCATTCTGCAGGACTGCTGTCTGCTGCATTGTACTTTGGCACTATTTGGAAGAGCTCTAGCTCATCCATATGTTATACCTACTCTCCCAGCTTGACAGTAAGACAAAATTTTGGGCTAGTGGCCAAGCCTGTGTCAAGGTCAGCGGGGTTAGTCAAGCCCTAGTCAATCTTCTAGTGTAGAGATTATCTGAGTGCCTAGTCATAAGTCTAGAAAGAACTTCATGTCACAGCATTTGAGATGGATATTAGGGTCTGGTGCCTGATTTAAGAATGGCACTTATGCCTTATATCGAAGCTCATGTGTTTGAAAGACTTCGAGACTCAATTCCTCAAAATTTTTGACTGGGCCGCTAATGCGTCATAGTACTCAATATGTGTGCTCTAGAAATCACATTTTTAGATATCATTTGGTATCTAAAACATTCCTTGGTAGTATGACTTCAGTCCATGAAAGCACTTTAATATAGGCAGCAAACATCAATAAATTGTAGCCTATCTTACAAGGCTTAGGTAGGTTGTCTTAGACTACCCTTAAACCTTATCTCTTTTGGTATTGCAAAGAATGTTTTTAGGAATGTTTTTCTTCTGATGTTTCCATTCACAGCAACTAAAGCACTTCACAATAGTTAGAGTTGTGTTGCAAGTGTCTGTCTTTTGTAGATGTGTGAATGAAAGAACAGAGAATCTCAGAAAACTGAAGCTAGCTCTGCCCATTAAATTAATTGAATTTTTCAGATCTATAGCTTGCAGGCAGTTCGAATACCTTTTAATCCAATCTGCCCACCTCATCACATACAGATTTTGTAATTCAGTGGTACTGAGGGTGCCTACCCCCCAATTTTTTTTCTTAATCCTCCATCACAGTGCAGCACAGTGGGATTGGCAATCTGCAGCCACTCAACCCATTTGTATCCAGAGAGAGCTGCGATGATTCAGCTGTTTCATCTAGAGAGGCTTAGTAAAATCTTCTTTCTCCTAACAAGCCTTTCCATTTGACACTTTCTCACCTATACGTTAATGCTTTTGGGAGCTAGGTGTGAAACCAAGAGGAGAAATGCACCTGTTTGCATAATGATTTTTTTTAAAGTTAATAGTGGGAAGTATAATGTAACATGACTTTTGCAAACAACTGGAAGTTTAGCTTGGCAAATGGCAGGCAGCCTCTGCACAATATTGTTCCCTGCATGTGGAAATTCCCAGCATGACTGATTCAAAAGTTTAACACAACTGACACCTTGCTGCAAAAAAGTGGCTCAGACAAAGTGAAATTAAGTACTTCAAAAACTAGGTGCTCGGGCATGAATCTAACAATGCTGAGGAATTTAAGTTGCTTGTTCAAAAAGGGGAGAATAAGAGAAAAGAAAACTTTTCTTTTCATGTTCCAAACACCTTCATTTCAGGAGAATGCTGTTTGATTCCATTATACATCAAAGGATAGCTGTAACCAGTTTTGGAAGTGGGTTAACATGTGATAATTAAGTGACTTTAAATATTAATCATCCTATTTAAAAGTAACACTGGCAAAGAAAGGCATCCCTAATGAGAAGTAAAATTACATTATAAATATTATTCTGCAAAAATGGGACTTATTCAAGTGTTTCTTTGAAGCCAAATGAGAATCAATGCAGTGTCTGAGTACATTCGCAGGGTGCTATGAGGAAGCCGAATTCTTTTCATAATTGTTTGACAAACTTCTTCCAAAACACACAGCGCACAGACTTAAAATGCATTTCTCCTGTTGTGTGTCTGTGTTATGGGTGAATACCATATGGACTTTGGTCTGAGCTTTGCTCATCTGAAAAATGCTGGGACAGGACTCAATGTTTCAGTTAACTGTTTCCTGTCAAGCAGGCAAAACATGTTCATCTTATGGAAGCAAAAATGACAGTTATTTTAAGGTAAACAAACCTATGGCTGACATTTTGTTTCCTCAGGGTGTGGGGTATTTTTGTTATTTTTATTCACAACTGAATGGAAAGGACAGATTAGGTATCACTACTGTTATCTTCAGCTTTTGTCAGGGAAATAAAGACAGGCTTTGAATAGGAAGTATTTACATAATTTGGAGGCTAAGATGAGCCTGAAGGCACTGATTAACTTAAAGATTTGTCCTATAGTAGCATATTGATGTGAGTGGTGAAACAAGGCAGATGTGCCTAAATGACACAAGGTCAGACAGGGATGTGTTCTGAGAAGAGATTCTGGAAACTGATAAAACTGATAGAAAGCTTCTATAAAATTGCTCTCTTTCACAGTTTAATTTAACAGTGGTTAAGGAAAAAATGGGAACATTCACGTAGATTATGTTGGATGCATGTGACTTTGTGCAGTGTTCCTCCCCCCTGCCATGAAGAGCAGTGATTGCAAACTTTCCCATAGGAAACCGACATCAGTAAAAATACATTGTTTGGTTAATATAGGAAATTTGTGAATTCTGCTTTTGACTTTCTTTTATTTTTTTTTTTCTGGGATATAAGAGCATTGGTCTAATTGTGAAAATGTTGCCTGAGGCCAAATTCTGCTGTTCTTGTGCCAAAAGACATTTAATCAAATGAATGTTGAATTTAATTCTCTGTCTTTATTCAATTGTTTTTTGAGTTAAATATTCATTGACTTCAACAAGAGTTTTGGTTGATGAGAGCTGAATTAAACTAAGTAGAAACATCAGGACCCAGCTAAGATACTGACTTTTCCCACGTCCTTAGAGCTCAATATACTGGAGTTAATTAACTCTCATAAAATGTAATGCTAAAAGTTGATGTATCATTGAATAAGGGTAAAGAGAAAGTTACATAGATGCATTAGCGTAATTGCTTTCGTTTTCTACAATGCATAGTAAGAGGTTGTTTCCCTGCATAGCTTTTGAATATCCACTTGTGACTGAAAAACTGTGACAGTTTAAACTATTGGCAGGAATTTGTAAAACTCTTGGTGCTCTCAGTGTCTAGATCTGGGCAGGTGGTGAAAGAACATGAAACTGGCTAATTGTTGTGATTCTCAGAGATGTTCTTATTGTTTTGATGGAATTTGTAATTTAATTATTAAATATAATAATTTTCAGAAGGAAATCAGGAAAAAATTAAACAGGGTTGTGTTTTAAATTCAATAGGGAGTGAGTGAAATGGAAAAGAAATTCCACTGCTGAGAATATTGGTCTATATCTATACTGAAATTGACTTAGCATAAGAGTAGCTGTGGTAAAAAACCTGAGAAGCAGAATATGAATGTCAAACTGCTCTAAGTTTAGCATAAGGCAGTTTCAAGACTATTCTCCTCTACTCCACATGCACATGTCCCAGCTGATCAAGTGGCAGCTGACACCAATGAAGTCTGCTCCTGTCCCTACCAAGCCACTTGTAGAAGTGTCAGGACACCAATAAAAGCATTGGCAGCAAGAAATATTTCAAGAAATATTTCTTCACATGTGGAAATGCTTCATTGGCTTGCAGAATTAGCTCCTAGTATTATGACCCTGTTACATCTTAATTCTGATTAAGGGTAATGTGAAGTCTGAGTTTCCTAAAGAGAACACTGTTAGGAGGAATAGGGCCCCTTTGCCAAATTTTCTGCTGGTCTATATGCCATTTGTTGATACCTGTGTATGCACTATTTACATGAACAGAAAAGTGTTGTTTCTTTAAATTAAAAAAGTAATCCGAATAGCTTTCCACTCCAGTTGAAAAGCTCTCAGAGATCTGGTCTCTTTCGAAAAACAGATCATTAAATCTACATCATTTGTATGAGTATTTGGCTCTGCTCCATGAATGTATTCTAATAATGAAATAAGACTTTTGTTCTTTGTGCTTTTCTCATTGTGATTTTGCGTACCTTTTCTGCTTGCTTTGTTTGAGACTTTTAGCAGATAGAGACCAGGAAAGTAAGATTGTATATTGATCTAAGCAGATTCACTCCTAAACAAACTATTCCTCAAAGATTTCCAGAAGGCACCAGCAGCTCTTTAAGAAGTAACAGCCTACAAAAATGTTATTTTTCACAGTTAAGCAGACTTTGGTCTAAAGCTGTGCAAACAAGCCTCTGAATCCTTGTCGCTTCCAGGGACTGTTTTTGGGTGTGTGCTAATCTATAAATCAAAAGGATTTGAAACAATGTAAGAGAAAATGTTTAAAGAAAATAAATACAAAAGGAAACATTTTTCTCTTTTCCCTCCTGCAGATCAGGGTACCTTCCAAAGAAGCCAAAGGCATTACAGAGATGCAAAACTTGAGGATTGTTGAGTTGATTCAAGACTGTCTGGTCCAAATCCCACCAAATTAGTGGCAAGTTTGACCTTGACTGCAATGAATTTTAGATGAGATCCCACACTCTGATTTTGGCTGTCTGGTTGGCTACTACATCACAGTCCACTTCAGTTTGAAACAGGTAGGACCCAAACTGGAAAAAAAGGAAGTTAAAATTAAAAAAAGGCACTGGATCTATGTCGAGCCTGCCAGGCTGTTTTATAAATAATGTGTGACTCTGTATGAAAACATATGTTACATGGGCAGTGTATAAAGAGCCCAAATGGCTTAAAGACTTGGAGTAGCATTAATGTGAGATGCCCTAAAGCAATGGGACGATTATTAATGCCTTGCCAGTATGCAAAATAATATATCGACAGGTGTTGTAAACCAGGCAGCTTATACTGGGGTCTTACTCTGTTGCTGATGTCAGTGGCAAAACTCCTGGAGACCTCGATGGTTAGAGGACCCAGGTGGTGATGAAGTGAATTCATTTGTTCTGATGAGTGCAGAGCTAACTGAATAGTCTCATTACCCGATATTGACTGACATCATCCCCCCCTTGTATTCCTGATGGTTGACACCAGTATGCAGTAATAATAGTACTGACCACCCAGGCAACCTGAACATGAGACTGCAGATGGAGGCAAAATCTGTGCATGTGAATGCTAGTAGTAAATTGAAGGGTTTTTACCTGCCAGGAGCCACTTAGATGGAGAAATAAATAAATATGTAACTCACTCTCACTGTCCTTTTTAAATCAAATGAAGCTGACCATTTTGAAAAAAAAATAAACAAAAAACAAAACCAACCAAACAAAAATTCAGTAGTCATTTAAGCAGCTATAGTTTTATTGTTTATAAACAATAAAAATAAAAGAAGAGATAAATGATAAGGCTGGATTGGGTGGTGTTAGTTGCTGATTCTAGGTGTGGGTTTTTGTTTTTTTTTTTTTAAATTCATGCATGTACTAACACTCATAGTATTATCCAAAAGGAATATTAGAAGCATCTTAGTCCATTATCAGCAATTAATCATTGACTAGCCTGCCGAGGAGGAAAATTACTTCTCTGAAAAATTGGCTCAAGCTTATCCTTTGCATTCAAGTCAATGACGGTGTTGTTCACTGAAAAGCAAGTCCAATGCAGCCATCCAGTATCCGTGAGAACGGATTTTGTCCCTAAGGCTTTCCTTTGTAACTTTTTGATTAGTATTCATTTTGAAGAGCATAAACAGTGCATAACTTTGATGAGTGCTAAAAAGCCCAGTCAGTATCAGGACTTCAATATGTATTTGTGTGTGTGTGTGTGTGTGTGTGTTCATGTATGTGCATGTGCGTCTGTGTGTCTGTGTGTGTGTGTGTGCTACTGCCAGCTAGTGCTTTGGTCTGCAGTTTGTTCTCTGGTCCTAATCACTGTCTGCCTGCATTGCAGAAATCTTACTCATTCTTGAGCTTCCATTTAGAGTCAATCAGCTATGTCTCTTCTAAAGCAACCTGCTAGGTGCAGTTCTGGGGGAATTTCCAGGGACCACTAACGAATAAGCACTGTGACTAAGACTGCACAGTCTTGCACTTGCACTGTCTTTCAGGAAACTTTACACTCTTGGTCATTTCTAGTGCATGCAGGGCATGTAGGGCTCAACAATATAAAATCATAATACTCACATGCTCCATCACAGTCCTCACACTGTTTCAGACCCTTTGAATTGAATAAAATACAGAGAAAATAATAACTGTCTAATGGCCCAGGAGAGACCTAGGGCCAAGTACTATGGAATACGAATACAGCCGGTGGCCTTCACCTTTGGCTGAAAGAACACTTGGGTAAATATTTACCTACTCCAAGTATATGTCAGACATGGCTAAAAGGAATCTGTGTATGAAAGATGATACTTAACACGATCAAGCCTACAGCATATTTTTCAGGGCTACCTGATTATAGCAACTGATGCAAGCAGTCAGAAGAGTAACAGACTGTGAGGTTCAGTAGACCTCGATCTTTTGGAAATTCCATATGGTAATTTCCCATTCACTAAGAAAAAGGTGCCAGGTCACTACTAGTTGAGATTGGGGCATAAGTATGACATGCTATCACCATTTCAAAAACTACGTCTCTCTGACAATTTCTATTTTAGTCTCCAAACTACAAGTGTAATTCAGTGAACAGTGAAAACACAGGAAAGACATTTAATTTGGTTTCTATGTAAGAGAAAAAAAGCCCTTTTGGAACGATGCTTGGGGTCAAAGAGGTCATATGTTTTGTCCATCAGACCTCCTTAGAGGTCTCTTCTCCTGTAATATCTTTATCCTGCTGGGTGGGTTATTTTTGGAGTCATATTTCAATCTGATATAACTTTTAAGACAGGCTAGGAAAGACAGAAATGTCCTCTTTCATTGGGACATTTCCATAGGGAGATGTCTGTAGTCCTGTCAAAATAAGACGCTCTCATAAGTCCCATTCTGCAAGCAAGAACATGTGCTTATCCTATCCTGAACAGCAAAGATGATCAACTGATTTGCTAGTATTTGTTACTCTTACATCACTGCATTGCAATTCCAATAAATGTTCCCTCATCTTTGTCTCACATCTTATTGCTTACATCAATTCTTATGTGCAGGAGAGCGCGGGTTTTTTTGTTGGGGCTACAGACATGCCCCTATGAAAATGTCCCTATATAACGATTTGACTAGATGATCTTAAAGGTCTTTTCCAACTGAAATGATTCTTTGATTCCAACAGTTGCAAAGAAACTGTGTTTGAGGTATTTTATCAAATCATTGAAAAGCACAAAGAAACCTGCTTTCCAGAAGTGTTGCAGTGGGGCAACTGAAAAAGTGATTCCACAAGGCAAGGAAATCATCTCAGCCCTTTAATGTGATGGGGGATTTTTGTAAGGGACTTTTAGGAGCCCCTGAGGGTCTTTTCCACCACATCAATGATGCAGTTTAGCTGCACCTGCAACCCATTAAGATTGCTCTCTCTATTCTGGATAGCAGGCCACCAAGTTTAAATCTGATCAAGGATGTTAACCACTGTAGAGCTCGATACATTTTAGAAACTGAGCAGAAGTCAGTTTTTTGTGATATGTAATGAAGAGTAAGGAGGAAGCTAAAAAATAGGCATGAGGAGTGTTCACCAGCCAGGCATATTTTTAAAAAAATCAAATGCTGATGAATTCTTTTTCTGGATTTTAGTATGTCATTTCATTACACACTTTCCTTGTTGGTAAATTTGCATAATGAAAAGATGAACAAATCAAGAAGTTTTAGTCTGAAATATACATCTTTTTCAGAGCAGAGAAGCTAACCCAGTTACTTATCTTGAGCTGTTAAAGCTAAATCTTGTATCTTCAAAAGTTGTTTACGTGCTTCATATCTACAAGCCAGAAAGCATAACCCACAAAGCCGGACTTGTCCCCATGACCCACTGACTTTTTGACATCTTGAGGTCATTCATCCAAAGCATGCACAAGCAGGAAACGCAAGGCTTCTTCCAACCACATCCTGGTGTGTCTGTAGTGTAAATTAGAGCTGTGAGAGCTCTGGGAAAATTCATCTGGCAGTCATGCTATGTTTCTTTTCCTTTTTCTTATAAACTGTGCTGAAGAGTTTGAGCTTAGTCTTAGTGTAATTAAAATTAATGAGAATTAAATGTAAAGGTAAAAACAGAGATCACCCATCAATTATTGGTGGTAGGGATGGAAAACATGTACATTAAGAAGCCATGTAAGAGGAACCTCCTGCACCTCAAGACTGATGTAAGAGATAAAAGATACAAGAGAAAGATATGAGAGAGAACATTTACTAGAATTGTAATGCAGTGATGTAAGAATTACACATAGTAGCCAATCAGCAGATCATCTTCACTGCTTGTGGAATAGAACTTAGGAGAGTGTTTTCTTTTTTTTTTTCTTTGACATGACTACAGACATCTCAATTTCCTGTCCAAAAAGAACTCATCTTCTCTTTTTTTATTTATCCAGCAATTTACTTATCTAGCAACTGCATTAATTTCTGCTAGTCACATCCCTGTCATGTCAGCCAAAGCTGCAAGGAATTACTCAGAAGCCACTGATCCCTGCTGAGAACCTACTATTGAAGTGTCTCAGATTGCTCTTAAAAATAATCGTCTTTTGTTAGGCCTATGTGAGCAAGAAGCAAACAAGAAAAATGAGACCTAAAGAAAAGTTCAGAAAGTGTAAAGGCATTCTATTAGCATAGTCAGCTAACATTCAAAGAAAGTAAATTTTCTTATCCTGTGTGATTCTTATCCCTGGTCCAGCTTAAAAATGGACCTGAAGTTTCAAGGTGCTCAGCTAAAGATTAGGCCACTGAACATGGTGTCACATGGCTGGGTGTCAAATAAATAACATGGAAGGACAGGGGCAGTATGATATTTTAAAAAACGGAAATTGCTGAGATCCATTCCCATATGAATGAAACAAAATCAGATAGGACCATATTTCCTGCACTGACATCATTGATATGTGACAACAAAAATATCTGGTGGATATGTACAGAATTCTTCTCAAAGTGTACAGTATATCCAGCTGCCTCTCTCCCCTAAACCGTAATCACTGATAAATAAATTGCTCTTTTCTGAATGGCATAAACAAGGCATTGTTGGTACAACTGAGATACAAATGAAATGGATTGGAAAAAGAGTTACCTCGCTTGCACCAAACAGGAAAGGAATTAATATACAGGGGCTGTAAGTTCAAATATTCTCCCAAGAAAGAGCTTGGGAAAAAGGACTTATGCAACAGCACTTATAGTTTTGTATACAAAGCAAGAGCAGGTGCAAGTCCAGCTTGACAAATACAGTGAAAAATCAGCATGCTTGCATATTCTAAGTACTGCAGTACCCAAGTACCCAACTGTTCAGGTCTTATCATCGCATTTGTGATCTGTTGATGTGGAATGAAGGCAGTCAGTAACATACAGGACTAATACTAACATTCAATGAATCAAGAGGTCTCCAACTGACAAGAGCAAGATGTCAAACTGAACAGAAAGAAGTGAGACACAGCGAACACAAATTCAGTAATAATGGACAAGTCTGACTCATGGGATCAGAAAAATAAAGATCTTCTCGGCCTTAGTACGTCCCATTGCAACCAACCTGTTCATATGGAACTTCT